AAATATTATAAATTGACTTAAAATGAATAAGGAATCAAGGATCATTAAATCTGCCTCAAATAGCTGGGCTAAGTCTAATGATGATGATGTTTCATCAAATAAGCCATAGAGGGTGATCATTGAAGAACAAGCAAATAGAAATTTTTATCACTTTCATCAAAGAAAAGGCAGATTTTTTTCTCTCAAAAAGGTGAAAATTACATACATACCAAACAATTCTTATCTATTTACATATCCAACACGAAAAATTCAAAATTTACGCTCATAACACCTTGAAGCCATGAATCTATGCATGAAAAACTATCCAAAAGTCAAATTTTACAGAATTAAAGCGAATCATGGCTGAAGCAATGAGGAGAAAGATTAGAACAGAATAAACCAACCAAAGAAGCGGCTGCGCGACGGGAGAACGACCGCGGAGCAATTGCACCGACTTCTCGATTCCGCATCTCGACGATGCGGCGACCTGATTCCCCGTCCCTCATCCCAACTTTCCCCATCTTTCTTCCACCAACAAGATGCTCGAAGAAATGCCCCAAACACCTTAGAAAGCGAAAGAGAGTACTCTGCCTCTGCGATAGCCGGAGATCGTTCTAAAGAACATCGTCTGTAATTTCGCGCTCAGGTGTGCTGCTGAATCAGACAGCGGTATCTCTGCTTTTATGGTTTCTCTTTTAAGGATGATTTATGTGCAGGTCATTCGATTCTCATGTATTTACATATCTAACACCTAAGATTCAATTTTTACATAATATGTCATCTTACCTAAGCATGAAAATATGTATTTCACTTAAATGATGTTTTTTATCTCATATAAAAGATTTGGGTGGTATAAATATAAAAATCAAAATTTAGGGGTTAGATTTGTAAATACATAAGAATTGGTTGGTATGTCTGTAAATGCCCCTCACTTTAATTATTCTTTTGAATTTTTAGAACTTGGAGGAAGGTTTACAATTATGTGGTAGATGTGTAAATGGTTCAATTATAAATAAATATATTAAAATGTATGATTTTGAAAAAAAAAAGTAATTTTTGTTATGGCTTGTGAATCACTAATTCATTTACTATTTATAGATTACAATTTACTAAAGAGAGATTTATGTAGACTTTATCAATGTCTCTTATAGTTTGAAGAATAGCAACCATTCAAAATAAATAAATTTTAAAATACATATTTTTCTCATACTAAATCAAATTAATAAATATTTAATTAATTTTTCATATTATCTAAATTTTAAAGTTGATTTAGTAATTTCAGAAGCAATATAATTCTTTAATTGTTTATCAAATTAGTATATAAATTTATTTTTTTTGTTTATTATTAAATATTTATAATAAATTTTGCCATAATCAAAATGTTTTTTTTAATGATATAAGATATTTAGATTAGCAGTAGAAAAATAAAATTAAGAAAATATTAATTTTCTCTATATGATAGGATATAGAACATTGGATTTTGTTAGTTTAGAGAATTGTGATATAGATGGATGCTTAGCATCCAAATTAAAAATTTATGAAGTTAAGATTAGCTTGCAAACGTCATGTGGATTTAATTATTGGGCATCTAAGAAGTCACTGGTAACTGATATGTGCAAAAGAATTCACGATGGTGTTGATAAACTAATAGATTAGCATTACACGAGAACTTAGCACGCTCTCATGTAGTAGAATGACGGGTTGAAAACACCAGAATATTTTACGCAGAGAACCTATAAAGGGGAAAGACCACAAGGTCTTAACCAACTGAAATATTTCACAATAAGTTGGTGATAACAGGTACAACTCCTCTCACAGGCGTGAAAGAGTTACATGGTCTCTCAAGTTACAACGTCGATATGCGGGAAAACTCGTGGCCCTGCGAAATGGAACGATCATAAAGAGGAGTAATAGTCAAGGCTTCAATGCACCATTTTTTAGGTCGACACAACATCCGGGATGATATGTTGTCTCATAAGTTTGCTCCGTACTGTGCTTTATGATAATGAGTGGGCAGCAATTGATGGTGATCGACGACGATCGGTGGGTGGTGGTAGTTGGTGGCGGTCGGCGACTGTAGGAGCAGGAGGCAACCTCTAGATAATTGCTGCAGAAGTGATGTTGTATTTTAATTTCTTCTCCAAGCTTTAGTCTTCTTAAGACTTTAAACTCTAGCTTCACATCTTAGGAGCTAACAGGGCTCTGTTTATAAAATTCATGTTACAAATAAGAAAGAAATTCATACCACTTTTGATCGAATGACCTTGGGAGATCCCTTTGATCAGATGGTGTTCAATGAATATATTAGTGCTTTGATGAAGTTGGAATCGAACGATATTGAGCTTGTTGGATTCTTCTTATTGATGCACATGATTTGACTATAAACTTGTCGTATTCATAATCTATTTGATCTTCCAATTATATCTAAAAAGCTTACAAATGCAGTTTAACATCTAGATCCAGGCTTGCTTTGACTCTTACTGGACCGATTTTGACACCTTTGGATATGTTCCATCGAGCTGGTCAGTTTAAATGTAAGTTTGTTGAACTCGAAGTTCTAGATGAATTTTAATTGAACTTTGATTTTTTTTTTTTGTTAAAAAAGTTATCTTGAGATCCGTGCTATATCTCGAGAGTCACGTAAAATGATGAAAATTTATTAGAGGGGTTTCAATAACTATGCTGAATGAGGTAAAAATTAGAATGCTAAGACAAGAAATTGTATGCTAGAGTGGCGCTGAGAGTAACATATGTTGAAGAATTAAACGAGATTTGTTGATCAATTCGATATGAAGGTGTTAGGAGAAAAGAGAGATATAAAATGTAACATTACTAAAGAATAATGATTCTTAAAGTATATCACATAAGTTTGTATTACGTTATGGGGGATGATTAGTCTTGTGGGAATTATCCAAACTGTAAATATTATAAATTGACTTATGAAGACATTTAATGGTTGCCACAAGTAGAAAAATCAAGGGAAAAAAAAAATATGATGAAGGTGGGGCTCGCCGATAGAAGTTAGTAAAGCCCACTTGTCTTATTAAGTAAAACTATCCAAGCCAAAGGAGAAGAAAAAGATGACCAAATGATTCGAGTCCGAAATTTCCAGTGAGACAAAAAAACATTCAAATCAATCATTATGGAAGAGTTAAATACATCTTCAACTATCCAAGAACATCTAGAGGCCTTTCATTAGAGGTCAATGATTGATAGTCTGATCAAATCAACTGGCCAACCCATAACAACTAACCTCAGCTGACCAAGCTGATCCCATCTGGCCAAGTGGATCTCAGCCAATCAAGCGGATCATGCCGACACGAGATGAATCAAGCTTCGCTAGCAGACCCAAAAATCAGCCAAATGATAGGCTTATCCATATAAAATAAGAGAAATACAAAATTCTTTAAAGCAAGGACAAAAATATATTATCATCAAATTGTACTATTTCCCCTGTAAACAAGGAGGTAATTCAATGAATACGACACAATCCATTACTAGTTATGACTGTTCACTCCTCTGTCTCTCTCTTTATGCTCTATTTCTTAGATGTGACTCACGGATAAACTTTTTTCTATAAATTTAATTCATACACAATGCATGTTTATTTGTCTGTATTGGATCTATTAATACTATTAATATTAACTCATCTAAAAAAAGGCTGCACTTTTTTTTCTGCAAACGTTTTGATGTAATTTATAATACTAAAATGTTATAAAAAGAAATATAAAAAATTAGACAATAGATTACATAAATAAATAAGCTATGCCATGCGTAAAAATCCACCATTTTTTAAAAGGAGCATTTACATACACATCACCAGATTCCTATGTTATTACAAATCAAACACTTAAATCTTTCCCTTTTTACACTCATACCACCCAAATCTTTCATATCACATAACAAAATATTACTTCTTTAACGTTTCAAAAGTGAAGCATACATTTCATGTATAAGAAAGGTGGTATATGTAATCACTCACAACAATTGAGGGGTATGTATGTAAAATTTCCTTTTTTGAACACAGCTGAGGGCTGAAGTAGATAAGAAGGCTCTTATGAAATTCACATCATCCCTGATCCCAATATGACTCATTCATAACATTATCATTATGGCCATCATCTTCATAATAATAATAATCATCATCATCATCATAATAAACATCGCTATTCTCATCAAAATTAGTATCACTCCGTAGATAATCACCATCATCGCTGTCGGCATCACCATCACCATCATCGCTGTCATCATCCATACCATAACTCGGGACGAATGTGACCGGCTCTTGCTTGATGATCTAATACAAGAGAAATTGCAAATAAGATACTTTCATATTAAATACATCTATAAAATTTCATGCAAAAGTAGTCGCAATGTTGTCACCAATGCGGTGACGATAACATCCTATTTAATAGAAAGAATTTATGGAATCAAACTATTAAAAAAGAGAAATTTAGATTAGGGTTAATGATGCAACATATAAAACAAAAAATCATTGGGAAATTTACATACATACCACACAATTCTTAAGAATTTATAAATCTAAGACCTAAATATAAAATTTAGTATTTGGATGTTTGAAAAAAAAAAGTAGAGATTGGAATTTCTAGAGTTTTGTGCTTCGTGGTTGATAGGGGTGTAAGTGAGTCAAGCAGATTTGTGAGTCTGCTAGAGCTTGGCTCGTGAACTGAGCTCGACGAGCTAACAAACCAAGCTCAAGCTAGCCCTGACTCGACTCGTAAGCTCGTGGGCTGGCTCATTTTAAAAAAATAATATAAATTGCACGCCAATAGATCAAATTTGAAGAGTTTATCTTTAAAACATTTAAAAATATTATTTTGTATTTTATAAAAAGTGTTTTTTTATTATCTCTCTCATAATTGCTTATTCTATTTATTATTTTATTATAACACTATCTTAACATAGTATTATTTTTCTCTTTATAAGAAAAAAGTAGCTCGAACATGTAGGCTTAAGTTCGAGTTAGAGCTCAAACTCGGTAAAATTAATCAAGCCTAAGCTCAAGTCGAGAGTGGCTCGAGCTCAACTCGAATTTCTTACAATCCCAGTGGCTGACCTCTTCGATCCTTTTTGGTAAAATACCAGAGTATCTCTCTTAAATATTATTGATTTCTCTCGCACCTTATCTTAATCTTTCATCAACATTCCTAGTCTCTATCCATTGTTTTCTCCCCATCTCCTA